AGGCTCTGTGCTTAGAGATCTTGCATATCCCAAGTATACCAAATAAATGAGATTTTAAAAATGAACAGTAATAATTTTTTATGAATGCAGCCAGAAAGATGGCTTAGCAGGTGAAGGCACCTGCCACCAATCTGTCAAGCTGAGTTCAATCCCCAGGACCCATACAATGAAAGGAGAGAACTGATTCCTGTGGGCTGTCCTCTGACCTCAGTAGAGTGGGCAGACGAGCACACATATGTATACACACACACACACACACACACACCCCTCATAAATAAATTAAGAAAAAAATTCCTAAGTAAAATTCAGAACGGCAAATAGGGCATATTTATTCTCCTATGTGAAATGTAGATTTAAATTCGCACACATCTCTGTGTTTATGTGATGACACTAGAATGGGAACCATGGGAGAGAAAGATGAGCTCTTGAGCGGGAGGAAAGAAGGTAATAGATGCATGTGTCATGAAAGCAATGGTGAACAGGAAGGAGACTGAAAAGGGACCAGCAAGAGGAATGCCAGCATGGTGTGAGGCAGGACAGGACCATGGGAGTGGATTGGAACAGAGTACAGTGTCAAGGGTGTGGAAGTGCTGTCATGAAACCCAGTACTCTATATGCCGACTCTAAAACTTTGCTGGTGTGACTGCCGAGATCCTCATTTGCCAGTTACTTTGCATGTGATCTGAGCTGTTCTCTTGTTAATCCGTCTGACATGAAGTCTTTCATCTTTTGAAAGATCAGCTGTTTCCCAGCACAGCTCCACTAGTGGTAGAGAATCGTATGTGGGATGCAATGGCATGGTGATCAGAGAAGGGTAGAGGAAATGCCAGCGAGCTGTGAGCATTCTCTAGGGACCTCTGGGTTCCCACACATCCTCACGCCTGAGGACCTGATCTAGAGGTGGGCTAGGCTGTCCCTAGGCTCTCTGTGGGCATCCTGCCTAGCATGCAGTTCCTTCTCTAGTTACTCTAGTTCTTTTCTACAGCCAGAACTGGAATTTAATTGTAAGCAAATCAGAGGTAGCTCGGGCTTGCAAGGATGCTCAGTGGGTACTTGCCACGAAGCCTGATGAGTTCAGTCTCAGGAATCCACATGGTAGAAGGAGAGCACCAGCTCCTGCAAATTGTCCCGACTGCCACAAATGTGTCCACACAGTCCTGGGCTGGACTGCAGTGATGTTGACACAGCAGGAGTCAGGGACTCAGCCCTTGACTCCACCTTTTGGGGGTTTTTTAGGGGGGGGATGTTTTTGAGACAGGGTCTCCCTGTAACCCCAACTTGCCAGTAACTTGCTACGTAGCCCAAGCTGGCCTTGAACTCACAGGACTTGGCTGTGTTGGGTTTGGGACCTGCTGGCTTCCCTGTTGACTGCTGGTGTGGATTCAGATCTCTGTCATCTGGCTTCACCACTCTCCTGGTTTCTAAGCTCCAGCCTCTTGACTTTTTTTTTTTCCCCTCATTTAGAGCTTTAGTGCCTGGTTAGTCTTCTGTGCGCCCCCTGCTGGCATCATTGATGATGAGCATCTACCCCACACAAGGCTTGCCAGTGGTGCCTTGACCTCCTTACCTCCTTTGTATGCCCAGTGCCTTTCTGCCCTGTGCTTCTTGGAGCCTGTGCCCCTCCCTCATACCGTACTGGGAAATGGAACCTCTGCTCCACTCTATTCCTCTCTTGGCCAGAACACTTTGACTTCCACAGCCCACCTCCAGCTCACCTTTCCTTCCTTCATGACAACAGAAGAGATGCCTTGTTTTCCAGTCCAGGCCCACCATCCTGAAGGAACTGACTTCTGTGGTGGGACCTAGCGTTTTCTCTCAACATTAGTAGCTCCCAGTAGAAAGTCCACCTTGCGCCGAGCTGTTTCCCTTCTCTCTTACAGGGATTGCCTTTTTCTCACTCTTTTTATTGATTCTAAAAGTCATACCTTCTCTGCTTTCTTCTCAAATCACATAAAATGTTCACCTTTTACTAAAAATCATTATGAAGTACCCAAAGCATTTAAATCTTGTCACAGGTTGAAGAGATGATGCTGTGGGTTAAAGTGTTTGCAGTGAAAGGGGAGAGGCGATCTCGGAAAAGTCACTGTGGCACATGTGCCCCCCCCCAAATATATGTAAAAAATTGGAAAGTTTTCAAGTTTAAAAATAGCTTCGCCAGGTGTGATGGTTCATGCCTGTAGTCCCATCACTTGGGAGGCAGAGGCAAGCAGATCTCTGTGAGTTCAGGGCCAGCCTGGTCTATATAGTGAGCTCCAGGGCAGCTGGGGATATAGGGAGACCCTGTCTCAAAAATACCAAAAAAAAAAAAATAAAATAAAATAACTTCTTTCCTCTGGGCTTCCCATTTTTCACCTGTTTGCTGGCCTTTGCTCAGTACAGCTTCTAAGTGTGAGTTTCTTAAGGCTCAGTAGTAGGTTCCCTTCTTAGGGGATCTTGACCCAGCCTTTGGACTTGTACTACTCCTCTCCTGAGAGATGCCTCAGATGTGTGTGACCTCCCACTTCCTGTGAGCTCCAGGCCCTGAAATCAGCTGCTGCCTCTCATAGGTTTCCCAAGTGGCTCCCTTTTGGTTTCTCACTCACTGTTTCTCCCCGATCATCTTCATGCTGGTAAGCGGCACCATCTTAGGATGGGCCATGAGACCTGAGCTTTATCCTTCATCTTTCTGTCAGCATCTGTACCCCATTAGACCCTTAGGAAAGCCTCCTAGGCCTCACCTCCAGATACTCTCCTCTGCTGTCACTACCCTACTTTAGGAGGCATCACTTCTTTGCTCTCTGCCTTGTTAACCTCATTTTAAAACCACACATTGTTGCATCTCATTTTGTTAGGGTAAAGTGTGGACGCTTCACTATGACCTGCATGGTCCTGCCATGTGTGACTCCTGCCTTGATGGCCACTTTCCCATTTGGCATTGGACTGTCTGGTATTCCTTGGATGTATTTCATCCTTCACCTTGGATCCTGGCCTATATTAGGACCTATCTGTGGCCTTGACACACAGGTAGTTCCATTGATTACCTTCTCAATTTTCAACCTAAATGCCTCTTTTTATGAGATAGGTTCTTGCTATATAACCAGTTTGGTCTGAAACTCCAGTTTTCTTGGTTCAGCCTTGACTCTAGAATAAGGCCACTGTGCTGGCCCGTAAATGACTCTTTTTTTTTTTTTCGGTCTTTTTGAGACAGGGTCTCCCTGTAGCCCCAGCTGTCCTGGAACTCACTATGTAGACCAGGCTGGCCTTGACGTCACAGAGATCCACCTGCCTCTGCGTCCCAAGTGCTGGGATTAAAGGTGTGCTCTACCATGCCCAGCCCCCTAAATGCCTCTTTCTAAGTACCTGGTATGCTTCCTACTACATGCTTTTTTCCCTCAATGTTTTTCTCCCTTTAAAATTCTGTGTTCTGTTTATTTACCTTTTGGGCTTATGAGACCATCATCCTCAGGACAGCAGGGACCAGGCTTTATGCCCTACAGGGGTATCTGTCAATAGCTAATGGAATACCCTATGTGCTAAATATTTCTCTGGAAGATTCGTAGAGTCATGTGGTTTTTTTTTAATTTTTATTTATTTATTTCATGTGTATGAGTGTATTGCCTGTATGTATGTAAGTGCACCTGTGTTATGCAGTGCTGCAGAAGTCAGAAGAGGGCTTTGGATTCCCCTGGAACTGGAGTTAAGGATGGTTCATAGCCGCCATGTGGGTGCACCCAGGTCCTCTACAAGAGCAGTCAGTGCTCTTAACCGCTGAGCCATCTTTCCAGCCCCAAGAGTCATGGTTTTAAACTGTAAGACCATCAGGTTTCAGGGAATGGTTAGAATGGTGTGATCTACGACTTGTGAAACTGTAGCCTTGAGGGGCTGGAGAGATGGCTCAGTGGTTAAGAACACTGACTGTACTTGCAGAAGACCTGGGTTTGAATCCCAGCACCCACTTGGCAGCTAACAACTGTCTGTAACTCTAGTTCCACAGGATCTGACAGCCTCTTCTGTCCTCTGTGGGCATTGCACAACATAGGTGCACTTACTACATGCAGGCATAACACTCATACACATAAAATAAAAATAATAAATAAAATACTTAAAAAAAAAAAAAAGAAACTATAGCCTTGCACCTCAAAGCACTGAAGCTGCTAGTTGTTTTCCTGTAGTCTGAGGAGTTTTGTAAATATTAACATTCCTACCCTGAACTCGCAGAATGAAGATTAACTCTAGAAATCTTATTTGGCCTTGCGTAGTGGCACAGGCCTATAATCCCAGCATTTACGAGGCTGAGGCGTGAAGACTGTAAGCTTGAGGCCTGGTTTACATGGCAAGACTGTCTCACAAAAATCCCAGAATTTAAGTTTGCAAAATTTCAGACTACTGACTGTGTAATATGAACAATCTAGAACCTCTGACCTGTATCTAATGTTTAGATCATTTCATTTTAGCTTTGGCTTGTTGCTGATGCTGTTTTTTTTTTTTTATTTTCCTAGTAACTTTATAGCATCCTCCTTTACCTACTAGTTACTATTTATGTTTTAGGCAACATCTAGATTAAGAGAAAGAGGCTGTGATGGACGCCTGGCAGGAATTGAAGTTCAACAACTCTTTTGTTCTCAAAGTGCAGCAATTCCTGAGCACCAGCTAAAAGAACTGAATATAAAAATCGACAGTGCTTTACAGGTAAGTTTTTCAAAGCTGCCATATGGATACCTAAATGATTTCACCAATGAATTAAAGTTCCGATGTTAGACCAGTGTTAGACCAGTTAAAAAGGGTAATAAAGTAGCAATTCTCCTCTTTTTCTTTTTTTCCTTTTTGAAGCAGGGTCTCCCTGTAGCCCCAGCTGTCCTGGAACTCACTATGTAGGCCAGGCTGGCCTTGAACTCACAGAGATCTGCCTGCCTCTGCCTCCCGAGTGCTGGGATTAAAGGTGTGCACTACCATGCCCGGCCAAAAAAAAAAAAAAAAAAATTTATTTACTATTTTTATTTTCTGTGTATGAATTTGTTGCCTGCATGTAGGTATGTGTGCCCTTGTCGTGCAGTGTCCATAGAGGTCAGAAAAAGGCAACAGATCCCCTGGTACTGGAGTTACAGATGGTTGTTAGCCACCATATGGGTGCTGGGAATTGAACCTGGGCCCAATAACTAGAAAATTCTTTAAAATTTTTATTTTTATTTTATGTGTGTGAATGTTTGCCTGCATGTGTGTGTGTGCACCATATGTGCTCGAATGAGACCAGAAGGGGGTGTTAGAGCCCTTGAACTGGAGTTAACAGAAGGTTGTGAGCTACCAAGTGGGTGCTGTGGACCAAACCTGGGTCCTCTGCAAATACAGCCAGTGATCTTAACCACTGAGCCATCTCTCCAGCCCCCACCCCCATTTTAAAGATTTATTTATTTTGAAATTTTTTTCTTACAGTCTTTTTGTTCTTTGAGAATGCTGTACATGCATGCAATCTATTATCATATTCACCCCCTCACTGCTCACCTAACTTCTCAAGATCTACTCTACCCCTCAACTGTAGAAATTTAAAATTCCTATTTTTATTAGACTTTGTCCTCTTCCAGTGTGCTATATAATCCTGATTTTTGAAAAACATTATTTGCAGGCATATAAGATAGCTTTGGAAAGTTTAGGCCACTGTGAATATGCAATGAAGGCTGGCTTCCACCTGAATCCCAAGGCCATCGAAGCAAGTTTGCAGGTATACTTCTCCTACCTAGTGGCTCTGGGAGGTGTGGGAGGCGTTCACTCTGTCCTGTGGAAACCAGATGTTTTCTCAGGTGAGCTGTGGGTCACCTTCCCTCTTCTGTCTCAACCTTTTCTAGGGCTGCTGTAGTGAGGCTGAAGCCCAGCAGACGGGGCGGAGACAGACACCCCCACAGCCCATGCAGTGTGAGCTTCCCACCGTGCCTGTGCAGATAGGATCACACTTCCTGAAGGGGGTCTCCTTTAATGAGTCGGCTGCTGACAATCTGAAGCTTAAGACGGTAACTTTCTCTGGGATTCCTGGGGTTTCAGTAACTGAGCCTGAACTTGGAAATAAGGTTCTTAAGGGAAACTCAGGGGCTTGTGAAGAAGGAAGATAAGATTGAAAAACAAAAGGCAGAGATCAAGGAAGGAGGCTCTGACGTTTCTCAGTACAGTAACAGTTGTGTTGTCTCTTTGTTTTTGTGTGTGGTCCTAGGGGGTTGAACCCAGAACATAACACATGCTAGGCAAGCTCTGTACCACAGACATACTCTAACCCTGTAGTGACATTTTAAATAAGACATTTGCGGGGTTGGAGAGATGACTGTTCTTGCAGAAGACCCCAGTTCGAATCCCAGCACCCACATGGCAGCTAACAACTGTCCGTAACTCCAGTCCCAGGGGATCCAACAGTCTCTTCTGACCTCCGCGGGTATTGCATGACACAGGTGCACTTACCTAACATGCAGGCAATACACACACATAAAACAAAAGTAATAAATAAAAAATTTAAAAAAAATTTAAATAAGACATTTGCTAAGAAACTTTAATTAATAACTTTCTTCAAGCCAGGCGCAGTGGTGCACACCTTTAATCCCACCACTCAAGAGGCAGAGGCAGGTGGATCTCTGTGAGTTCAAGGCCAGCCTGGTCTACACAGTGAATTCTAGGCCATCTGGGGGAGACCCTGTCTCAAAAAGACCAAATAATAATAATAATGATAGTAATAATAACAATAACTTTCTTCAAATGGTTATCATAGTTTTGGAAAGTACACCATGAAGTTGTTGAAAATTAATGTTTGTTGGTGGTTTTCTGAAAATTAAGTAACAGAAATCTTGCAGTAATAAAGTAATCATCATGATTGCCAGGGATTACAGCCAAGTGCTTCCTATTCATTGTCTTATTTAACACAGTATCTCATTGAGGTGTGGGTATTCCCTCTTCCGCCATTTGACAGGGTCATTAGAAAGTTTTCAGACTGGAACTTGGGCTTATTCAATCTATTCCAGAGCCTACACACCTGACTATATAGTCATCCAAAATAAAGTTGACATTTGAATTGGCATTTACTTTTTTTTTGGTCTTTTTGAGACAGGGTCTCTCTGTAACCCCGGCCCTGTAACCCCACTGGCCTGCTATGTAGACCACACACAGAGATCTGTCTGCCTCTGCCTCTGCCTCCCAAGTGCTGGGATTAAAGGTGTGCACCACCACACCCAGCAGCATTTACTTTTTGTTTTTAAAGACAAGGTCTCTATATGTAGCATTGACTGACCTGGAATTTGATACATAGATCAGGCTAACTTGACCTCATAGAGATCCACTTGCCTCTGCATCCCCAGTGCTGGGAAATGAGTGTGCCACCACACCCTACCGTAATTGGTATTTAATTTTACTAGTTGATTTTGTTTCCTTGTTTGGGGGAGATTTAGAATTTCCAAATTTCTCAACCAACTTGCAAAAACATTGCTAAATAATGCTGCACTTTCCTTGGCGTAGATAACACATGTAAATTAGTGCATGCGCGTCTGTATTTAGCTCTTTACTTTATGGGGTGGAGAACATTTTGGGGGTTAACTTACAATAGTAAGTTAAGAAATACAGGTGGACAATTCTCTTGTCATTGCCCAGCCTACTGCCCCTTGTAGTGTACTTAATAAACATATTTTATTCCTTTATTTTAAAAAACCTCAAGTGTTTGGGTGTTTCCCAGAATGCCTTTCTCTTAAAGATGGCAACATGTAAGTTCATTTCTATAAATTTTGGAGCCTTACAAATTTTTGAGTCTTAAGGCATGAGCTCTCCTCTCTCTTGTCAATTTTAGCACACAATGTTACAGCTCATCAAGGAAGCAGGCTGCTACAATGGACTCACACCTAGAGATGATTTTCCTGTGACAGAAGTACTCAACCAGGTGTGTCCATCTACCTGGCGGGGTGCCTGCAAGACTGCTGTGCAACTACTGTTTGGCCAAGCTGGACTGGTGAGTGCGTGAGGGTGAGGGAAAGCCTGTGGTGAGCACACGTGTGAAAGGACTGCGTACAGTCCCTCACTTTGATCTTTGTGTGGCTTAGTCCTCATTTTCTATCTTTTAGGTTGTGAGCCTGAGCCTTTCTTTAATGGCTGCACCAGCTCTCAAGCCCACTCCTCTCATTTTTCTGCTGTCAGCCCATTTTACTTTCTCCAGCCCTCCTCTGACTGGTGCTAGGATAAGCAGGGTCCCAATCCAATCACTTCCTGTCCTAGTGCTCTGCCTAGCTCTGTCTGCAATACCAACTTCAGCACAGTAATTTGTTCTTCTTACCTGCCAAAGAAAATGAAAACAACAAAAGCTTTCTAAGGCAGAGTCAGGAGCTCAGCATCTGAAATTACTGTTAGTTTTTTTGTCTGGTACCATTGACCCGTGTAGCCTTAGGTACTTGATTCCACCTTGTCATAAATGTTTCCTTCTTGAAAAGAAGAGCATTTCAGTCATGTTAGAGAAAGCTAATTTGAGATTTCAAAGATTACAGAGCTCTTTATAGTCCAATTTCTTATTTGTGGAAGGCGTAACTGTGATGATAATCTGCACAAAACTCTTGTTTTGTGCAGATTAGGGGCTCTGGTGGCCCAGTTCAGGCCACCGGTCTGCACCAGGTGAAGATCTGTCCACAAGGTGGCTTAGGCTGTGTTCCTTTGCTTCAGTGTAGGAATCCCCAAGAGAAGTAGTAAACAAGAGACACTCTGCTAAAGGAGAAAAGACCACTACCTTCAGACTGAGCCATGATCCCTGAGACTATTTCTCTGAAGCTGGGAGCCATGGCAGTGTGTTCCTTAGAACACAGCATATGCTGGACACAGTGCTGCACACCTGTAGTCCCAGCACTTGGGAAGCAGAAGCAGGCAGATCTCTGTGAGTTCAAGGCCACCCTGGTCTACATAGGGAGTTGTAAGCCAGCTGGGCTACAGGGAGACTGTCTCAAAAAGATAAAAAGAGCCCGTGGTGACACATGCCTTTAATCCCAGCACTCGGGAGGCAGAGGCAGGCAGATCTCTGTGAGTTCAAGGCCAGCCTGGTCTACATAGTAAGTCCTAGGACAGCTGGGGCTACAGGGAGACCCTGTCTCAAAAAAACCAAAAAAAAAAAAAAAAGAAGAAGATGAAAAGAACAGTGTGTAATCAGGAAAAGGCTATTTTGAGAAAATATTGTAAGCTAAGGGAAGAATAAAGAAGTTTGATCATAGAGCCCAGAAAAAACTTAGTTCCTTATCCACTGATTGCAGGGCCCCTTTCGTGGCTGACAAAGAACTTTAGGATCATGGTCACAGGAGTAAGAGGAGAGAGGAAACACCTGACGGGTCCAACAAAGGCTGATTCCTCAGACAGGAAGAACTTCCTGAAGGCCCAGCTGTGAGAACTCTTGTTAGCAGTGGAAATCACCACTAGAAGCTGTATTTGGAATCATGTTAAGCAACTTTGAGCAGGTTGACCCCTTCTGAAATACAGATGTGGTTTTAAAACCAAGCATGATGACTCACACCTGTAATCCCAGCACTTGGGAGGCTGAGTCCAGGATTGGTATAAATTTGAGGCTAGCCTTGGCTAGTTCCAGGACAACCTGTGCTATAGAAGATCCTTTCTCAAAAAGTTTTTTTTTTAATTTATTTTTTTTTTTAATTTTATGTGTATGTGTATATTGCCTACATGTAGGTAAGTGCACCCGTGTCATGCAGTGCCCGTGGAGAACAGAAGAGGCTGTCAGATCCCCTGGAACTGGAATTACAGACAGTTGTTAGCTGCCATGTGGGTGTTGGGATTTGAACCTAGGTCTTCTGCAAGAACAGTCAGTGTTCTTAACTGCTGAGCCATCTCTCCAGACCCTCAAAAAGTTTTATTCTTTGTTCTAGCTTGTTTCTCCGTTGCTGTGACAAAACATTCTGACCACTACCAACTTGGGGAGGAAAAGGTTTATTTGTCTTACATCTCCCAGGTCACAGTTCATCAGGGAGCCCAAGGTAGGAACTCAGGGCAAGAACCTGGAACAGGAGCTGGAGCACAGGCCATGGAGGATCGCTGCTTACTGACTTGCTCCCTGGCTCCTGCTCAGCCTACTTTCTTACATAACAGAGACCCACCTGCCCAGGGATAGCACCATCCACAGTGGGCTAGGCCCTCCCACCATCACTCAACAATCAAGATGCCCCACAGACATGGCTAAAGGCCAGTTCAATGGAGGCAATTCCTGAATTGAGGCTCCCTCAACCCAGGTGTGTCAAGGTGATACTAAAGCTATCCAGCACATCCTTGTTTTAATGAAATTCTTTTTTGTTGCTGTTGTGTTTTGGATCTTGTTTTGTTTTCTTTTGTTGAGACAGGTCTGGCTATATAGCCCAGGCTGGTGTGGAACTCACTATGTACCCCTGCCTCAATATCCCTACTGCTGGGGTTACACAAAAGTGAAATTCTTTTTTTTTTTTTTTTAATGTGTATGTGTGTATTGCCTGCGTGTAGGTAAGTGCACCCATGTCATGCAATGCCCGAAGATGTCAGAAAAGGCTGTTGGATCCCCTGGGACTGGAGTTACGGACAGTTGTTAGCTGCCATGTAGGTACTGGGATTTGAACTCGGGTCTTCTGGAAGAACAGTGTTCTTAACTGTTGAGCCATCTCTCTGAAAGTGAAAATTATTTTAATTAGTAGAAAACATACTCATTGCTTTATCAGACTCTATAGATTACATAGTATACTTTGTCATCTATGTAGAAGAGTTTCCACAAAAGGGAAATCTTTGAAAGGAGACTGTCCTGAAGCCATTCCGTTTTATTTCTTATTTTTATTGTTTTTATATGAGTGTTTTGCCTCATATAAGTGTACGATGTGTGTGCAGTACCCCTGGAGGCCAGAAAAGGGTGTCAGATCCCTAGGAACTGGAGTTACCGATGTTTGTGAACTGCCATGTGGGTATTAGAAATCAAACCTACAAGTGTTCTTATCCACTGAGCCATCTTACCAGCCCCAAGGATAAAATAATCTTTTAAAAAAAGTTTCATCGGGGCTGGAGAGATGACTCAGCAGTTAAGAACATTGACTGTTCTTGCAGAAGACCCGGATTTGAATCCCAGCACCCACATGGCAGCTAACAACTGTCCATAACTCCAGTTCCAGGGGATCCGACAGCGTCTTCTGTTCTCCACGGGCATTGCACAGCACAGGTGCACTTACTTACATGCAGGCATAACACTCATACATATAAAATAAAATGATAAATAAAATATTTTTTTTTTTAAAGTTTCATCAACTTCTGATTTGTAGCCTGTTGTGGTAGCTCACACCTGTAGTCTAGAGCATCATGCGTTCAAGGCCATCCTGGGCTACATAGTGAGTTCCAGGACAGCCTATGCTATATGTTAAGACCCTGTCTCTTAAAAAACAAAAAACAGCCAGGTGTGTTGGCGCACGCCTTTAATCCCAGCACTTGGGAGGCAGAAGCAGGAGGATCTCTGTGAGTTCAAGGCCAGCCTGGTCTACATAGTGCCAGGACAGCTGGGGCTACAGGGAGAACCTGTCTCAAAAAAGAAAAAAAAATAACAAAAAACAGCCAGGCATGGTGGCACAGGCCTTTAATCCTGCCACTTGGGAGGCAGAGGCAGGTAGATCTCTGTGAGTTCAAGGCCAGCCTGGTCTACACAGTGAGTTCCAGGACAGCAGGGGATACAGGGGAGACCGCCTCAAAAAGACCAAAAAAAAGCTGGGTGTGGAGACACAAGCCTTTAATCCCAGCACTTGGGAGGCAGAGGCAGGCAGATCTCTCTGTGTTCCAGGCCAGCCTGGTCTGCATAGTGAGTTCCAGGACAGCTGGAGCTACAGGGAGACCCTGTCTCAAAAAGAAAAAAAACCAACTGACATGGTGACACATGCCTTTAATCCCAGCACTCAAGAGGCAAAGGTAGGCAGGCCTTTGTGAAAGCAAGGCCAGCCTGATCTACATCGTTCCAGGCCAGCTGGGGCTATAGGGAGACCCTGTCAAATGAACCAAAAACTTTATTTTATTTATTTTATTTTATTAATTTATTTTGTCTTTTTGAGGCAGGGTCTCCCTGTAGCCCCAGCTGTCCTGGAACTCACTATGTAAACCAGGCTGGCCTTGAACTCACAAAGACCCTCCTGCTTCTGCCTCCTAAGTGCTGGGATTAAAGGCATGCGCCACCACGCCCAGCCTAAAACACTTAATTTTTATTTACTTTTTTTGTGTGTGTGTATGAGTTTTTGCCTGCCTTTATGTGTGTGTACCACCTGTGTGCCTGGTGCCCACAGAGACAGAATATGGAGTTACAGATGGTTGTGACCTGCCTGTGGGTGCTGGGAACCAAACCGGATCCTTTGGAAGAGCAGCAAGTGTCAACCACAGAAACCCTTCTCTAGCCCTCCTTGTTTTGTTTTGTTTTGTTTTCCAATTCCCTTTTTTGGGGGGGTCTTTTTGAGACAGGTTCTCCCTGTAGCCCCAGCTGGCCTGGAACTCACTATGTAGACCAGACTGGCCTTGAACTCACAGAGATCCACCTGCCTCTGCCTCCTGAGTGCTGGGACTAAAGGTGTGCGCCACCATGCCCAGCTTCCAGTTCCTATTTTTTAAAAAACATTTTTATTGCGTTTTTAATGCAGTTCATATAATAGATACTAATCAAATTTAGACCCCATCCCCCATCCATGCCCCCCCCCCATGGCCCTCGCCTCACCGGATTTCATGCATTCTGTCATATTTGTTAAGTCCTATCTGGTCAAACATTTGTACCCAGATGTCCCTCAGTGCAAGTTCATCCCCTGGAGTGTAGTTAGCCTGTTTAAGAGTCATTTCCCTAAAGACTATCTATTCTCCCTCACCCAGCAGTAATCAGTTGCCAATACTTCTTTGGCTAGGGTTGGGGCCTGCTGCCCATTTCCCTCATTATGTGCTGGGTTTGGCCTGATTGAGTTGACATGGGTGTTGTGCATGCTGACACCATTG